TTCCTTATCCTGGCAACATAAATGAGGCATCTTTTTGCCAAGTTCATAGCAGAGGAGGGAGAGTGACTTTCTCTTACTGCCCTCCTGCCTGGATACAGAGATCATCAAGTGGTTCAGGTTGGAAGGGACCTTAAAGATCATCTAGTTCCAACCTTGCTGCTGTTAAGAAACAAAGGGAAAAGCTGTCCATGAGGATAAGCCTTTGTTGCTATAAGAGTCCAGGTGCTTCTGAACCTAGAAAAATGTACTATTTAAAACCTCCCGAACAATGAACCCGATTACAGGATGTATTGCAGAGATTTCAGGCCTCGTGACAAATTAGTGGGATTTTCATATAACAGGTGATATCTCAGACAGACATTTTAACACTCAGTGTATTTACATGACTTTTTTTGTGATCACCATCTGTGTGAAATGAAGATGAGTGCCTACCTACTAAAATTTCTTCACACTTACTGGATAGAACCATTTTCTCTTGTTTAAAATACTTCTCTTTGCACTTGTCTTATGCCATTACAAGAACACAAATAAGTGGTTTCCCATAAACTGACTTTTTTTTTTTTCTTTAGTTCTAATATAATTTTGTCTCTACAAATAAAAAATGCCCCCCTGGAAATTATTTAAACCTAAAAATGAAATATTTTTTGTTTAAATTACTCTCTGGTTGGAAAGAAATGCTGCAGCTCCTCTTCTGAGCAGACAAAGCTTTAAGGCACAGCAGATCTGAGTAACGTAGTCATCAAAGCCACTAAAGCAAGCCCTAAATCCAGTTTTAGCAAACCATACAGTACTATTCTGAAGTACTCTGGGAATAGTTTCATATTACAAGCAGCTGGTTTAAAATAGTAACTGGACCATTGTGCCATCCTCTAAAATAATGATTCTATCATAACAAAAATATTTGCACGAAGTAAACGGACATTGAGTAACTGTGGACTTTTGTCCCGACAATTGCACTGTGTGAGGCCATGTGAAAAACAAGGTGGAGAGAATAGAAAACGGACACAAAAATACCTGCACCCCTTTTCCATACTGCTGCTTAGCAGAGTATCCATTTATCCTTTGACCAAACATAAAAAGACTTATTTCTACTACCAAAAAGAGCCCCCAAAGCCACTCTCCCAAACCCAAATAAACATATTTCTCCCTTATTCCTAATGCATATGACTGATACGCTAAGCTTTGAGAAAGAGCTTAGTGTGTGATGGGAAGTTCAGCTGCTCACCTCCTCCTCCCTAGTTCCCTTAGGTCGGTGTCCTTTGTTTTCAGCCCTACAACGAGCACTTCTCCAGCATCCTTCATCTTGGGGTAAAGTAGCTGATTTGTCCCTGTGCTTGTGCCGCCTGCCCAGCTGGCACTCACTAGTGCAGTGGGAAGAGACCACATCAGCAGCCAAACACTACCTGTGTTTCTCTTGACTATTCACTTGCCAATTTTTACATAATTTGTGAGGACTTGATTTCTTTGACACCAATATCCCTCTGGCAATTTTGGTTTAAGTCAGACTGTGGAGTTGCTGGGTGCACATCATCCCACTCTTCACCTAACAGGACCCAGCCTAAATGCAAGGGACAGGAGTCTCCATCACCACATGAGAAGCGTAATCACCTACTTTGGGCTGGTACAAGTTACAGCAAAAAACTGCCCTACACAATTCAAAATCTGCACTTACTGCACCTAACAATTATTTTCGTCACCATTACTGACAGATTCTCTATTGGTTTTGGTGCAGCAATAGCTCAAATCAACGAATGTTTCTTTGCGTGTTGAGAAATTCCATCTTTATACAGAGCACACTAAAACCTACAGATTTCTCATACGAAACCCTAACTAAATGTTCTGATTTGTAAAGAGCACGTAAGCGTGGTACAAATCTGCAACTCAGCTTTGCTCTGATTTCTAATTTGTATTTCTACCTGCATATAAACGGACAGGTCCAGGCAGTGTGCAGGGAGGTTGTTTCCTCAACTCCAGCACAAGGGGTTATTTACTACCGGCTGCGAGGAGAGCGAGAAACACCTGACCTCTAGTGGCAGCTGGGGGGGAGGAGGTGAGAGACTGGAAATGCGGCAAAAAGGATTGATGGAGTCAGATGGAATTGTGAAGTGGAGCCTGAACTTTCATTAGTTGCTTTGTTAGCTTTTGTTTAATTATCTTTTCTACCGAAATCCCAGTTCAGAATCCAGAATATTTTTGTTTCTGAAACGTTTCTTCAGGTTTATTACTAATTTTAAGAAGTGCGTGCGCAGTCTTCTAAAAGAAATACAGCAATATCCTAACAGGTTTTATATCTTCGTATAGAAAGTTTTTGGTAAGTTTGTTGCTTTGGTTGTTTTCCCTCCATGCACACACAATTATTCAACAAGCCCATTTGGGTCCTCATTAGACTTCATTCCTGCTCCTCACTGACATAACATTTCTCCAGTGAAAAGACACACTTCCCACCCTTGGCACACAGGACATCAAACCTTTCATTCCTATTGGGCTAAAATCACAGCAGCTATTCCATAAACAAAGGTCATAACCTTTCTAATCAAGTGGTTAACCCAAATATTAAATTCCCTCCATGAGAAACAACAGTCTTGTTTTTAGCCCCTGTAGGACTAAATTTCAAAATTTTACACAGACTTTCTTCTAAGTAAAGAAAACATTATCTGCAAGCTACGGTAAAACCTACTTTTGGTCATGGCTTCGTGAGGCCTTCAGGCCACCAAGAGAGTCTTTGTAATGCGACAGTGGCAGAGCTGCTAGAGGACTGGAGCAGTGGCAGTTGCAAGGGGTCATCATTTTGTGAGCTGGAGTTAGAGTAACTTCTGCCTATTTCCTGAGGCCAGAACGAAAATGAAGTTATGTACCACTCAAATCATTCTGCACGTTAAAAACTAGTCGATACAGATATATGAAGAGACGATTTCTGGGGGGGAAAAAAAAAAAGTTGTGGTAGCAAACATCTTACCCATTTAAATGATCAGATTCACTGGGACATTAATTGGGGTAAATTTGTGTTTTCCTTATGGCTCACAAGCGCTGAGTTGAGAAGGGCATAGATGCAGTACTATACTGTTTAATTTTAATGTTTGTCATAAAAAAAACCCAAACCTTAAATTACCATAGTTGTGTCCAATTATTTTTTTATGTTTGAGCCATTTATATGTTTTCTATGGATCAAGGGTTGGACTTGATGATTTTGGAGGTCTCTTCCAAACCACTTAATTCTATGATTCTGTGATTTAATATTAAAACCCCCTACAATATTTTTATCTAGTAGCCTCTGAGAATCTGATTTTTCTTCTGTCTGTTGAGACTAGTTTCAAAATCCCCATATCTTCAAGGTGCTTTGGTACACAACCAAGATACCAATGGCTTGTCCTACACAAGATGTCAAAGTGAATTAACAAAAAAAGATGTGAATTTAAAGTGAGTATAACTCAGGCATATATAATTTCTCTATGGATACTCATTTAGGAGTCAGCTGACCGTAATTACCTTAACTTAATTCACGCTCAAAGTGAATTAAACTGAACTAATGGTTTATCAGCATGCAAGAGACACTGTACAATAAGCTCAGTGTAAATTCACAATTCATCAGCTGCTGGGCTCTGACTTCCCTTGTGGAAATGCAGTGTGCCCTCAAGGTGCCTTTGTACGAAGTAACTTAATTTTTTAGGGGGAAAAAAAAGCTATATATGGAAGTGTGGGCTGATTGATAGCAGGTGCAGAGGTGGTTAGATTTCAATGGTGCTATGCCTAGAAAAAAAGGTCAGCAGATATCATCTGTGCAGCTGAAGCTTCTCTGCCATTTTGTGACCATAATGGCACTTTCTATGCTATAGGGTCTGTTTTGAACTGGAGAAAGCCAAATAGCATTTTTGGTGTTTTCATAGCAGGGGAACAGGTCAGTTAGTACCAAGCACCTGGTGTAACATCAACTCATACTTTTATTCACTGTTCAGTAAATCACCATGGAGGAGTGCAGAGAGCCCTGAACCATTTCTGAATGAAAACATCCAAAAGCAGTTACATACTATAAACTTACACTGTTACCCAATTTGGTTTAACTTGACTATCTTGGTGTTAATTTTCCCCTAAATGATTTCCCCCCTTTCTTTATTCACTAGATTTAACAGCATTTTCTGTTGGCGTAAACAAAGCCATGCAATAAGAAATATGGAGAAAGAAATATCCCTACTTGCAGGACTCATTCAAATATAACCAGCATCATCGGGCACTCTCTCACATTATTATCCAGTCAGGAAAACATGCCAGGCCTATTCATGAGCCATTCCTGCTCATTTTTCCAGGCACAGAACATTTGTACCATAGCATGCCTTGTCAGACTTGGAGCCCTTCCAGTACCTGATGAGCATATTAACAGTGCTCCCATTCACGACCGGGAGCTGCCAGTTCTGTCTAATTTTAGTGGAGTTGCTATTTATAGCTGGAGGGCTGTGCTGGAGGGCTGTAAAAGCCTTGCCGCTGCTGGGCGTGGGGGGAGTGGATATTTTGGGGCTGTTTCAGTTGGCACAAGGAAGGCTCACAGTTGTAATTTAGCTAAACCCAAATGACTCTGCTGTCCTCCCAGAGGAGCAGCGATGCTCCACCAGAATCACTGGGGCACTGCTGGCTGTGTGGCTCTCAGTCCAGGGAGGGGCTGACTGTGTCCATGGACATGCTAAATTACTGTAAGCACAATGGTTTCAAGGTCCAAAGCACAGGGGGGTGTGGGGGGGGACAAGCTGGGGTCAAATCTCTCTGTGCCGTAACATCTGAATTCCTTTGGCCTTGTTTTCCTGTATGAGAGCACATTAATATTAACAGTAGTAACAATACCTACCTTCGCACCACAGTACTGCGTGAGAATTTATTCACTAACTTTGCAAGTAACTTTAAATGCCAAAAGACGTTCTGGGGAAGAGATTCTCCAATGTAGGCTTGGTAGTCAAATTTCCAGTTAAAAAGATACTTTTAGTACCTTGGATGTGTTTCAGTAATTGATAATTAGTGTTTTAATAATTGATAATTTGTTCCCAGTATTTCTGATGTGACAGGGTGGTGGTGGAAAATTAAAATAATTTTTTGTAAATAGAAACTGGGGTTCAGCTAATTTTAGATTTTCAAAACAAATGCTGGCCTCAGTAGAGGCAGGTTTGAGTCACGGAGTTTCAGTCCAGATTGGGAGTTTTGAAGCCAAACTGTTACAAAGTTGATGGTGTCTACTCCTGCTTTGTCTCTATATAGGCCTCTGTTATGGATAATGTACATCTCTCAGATTTGTAAGAGGTGCTTGCAGGGGTTGTTTACTTTCTGATGTTGTACTTTGCTTACACAGGATATATGTTCTGATCATCCCCCATTGTTGCTCCAGTAGACAGGAAGACTTCTTAGAAGTTGGAACAGATACAACTGAGAGCAAAAAAATAATCCCTAGCTAATTTGAGTATCTCAACAAGAAAAGGACACTGAACCAGCAAAGATTTTGGTTCAGCTGAAATTCATATTCAGCCTGGCTGAGATTCTTCTGAGAACTGGAACTGAACCAGAAAAGCAGTTGAAGAAAGAAATAATGGCATAATTCTGTGGCTAATGTGGTTTCAGGACAAAAAGTATTCTTTTCCTTGTTAATCTGTAGCTGACTGCTCCACATGATAAAGTCCATGCCCCCCAGATCCGGAGGCTCTGGGCTGGCAGAGGACTGTCATTTCTCTGATTTTCAGAGCTAGAAGTGTGTTTTAGCTGCACGGTTATATGAGTAAGAGAGTTGTTCCCCCCCCCGAAAACAGATGTTCCTGAAAAACAACAGGTTCAGATGCTACTGAAGATAAAAGCTGCAGTGTTGTCTACTGATAATCACAGGTAAAGCTGTAACGCAGTTTTAAAAGGGCCCTAGATCAACAAATGTTTTTATTAGTTTGAGCACGATTTATGGTGGCTGAGGATGTGCCCGGGGTGTCACTGGCAGGGTAACACTGAACAACCCTTGCAGCTGTAGGCATATCTGGTTCTCTTTTTTAGGGGATGTAGAAGGAGGGGTGGCTCAGCATCAGATACGAGTCCAGCAGGGTTTGAGCTTTCAAGTCCCCAGCAGCCCCAAACATCTGTACGGTGGGTAAAGCACATACCTGTGTGCTTGGCTCACTGAAAAGGCACAGGTATGACATCTCACCTGTGTCCCAAAACATTAAATGGGACCAGGGGTCAGCAGCCCCTCTGCCAGGTGCCCACAGCACAGGTTTTCCCTTGAGCACTCCCTTCATGTCCCTGTCAGACCATGGATACAGCTCCTCTGGCACAACTCCTGCAAGGCTGATTCCACAGCACATCCCTGACTTACTGCCCTCACGGCTCACTGCAGCAGATTGCTAACCCCATTCTAATCACAAATCTATTTATACTTCTTTTAACAGACTGAATTCCTAATGCTCTGATGTAGCCACTTCTGAGAACCTCCTTCAAGCATAATAATAATAATAATAATAATAATAATAATAATAATAATAATAATAATGGCCAGTCTTCGCAAACGAAGATCCGGGGAAGGTCTTTACACCTTCAAGCATAGCTTTCACAAAAAAACCCACCACAATCTGAGAGACTCCTTAACTTGCACAGGCTGTCAAATGCCCCTCCTTGCACCACATCAGGCTCTCTTGGTACTCTGCCTTGTGTTGCCTTATAGCATCTATTAAGCCAATTACTGTCCTCATTGTTTGCATTTTATATGTTTATGTAGCCCTTTCTGAGAAAGCTGACACATTACTGCTGCTTCCATAAATTGTCCTTTCTTCCACATGTTCTTGTGACCCATGGAGACACTATGCTATTTTTCATTGTTAGATTCAAGCCTAATGTGATTTCTCTCCAAAATGTCTCCAATGAAACCTAATATATCAACACCTGTTGCTCCACACCATATTAGGGAGAGTAAAAAAATTATCCCTGGTGACCAATCACAGAAGCTTCTCCTGCCACCACCTGGTCTTAAATGAGGGCAATAACTGAAGAGCTGATGACGCTGGGAATGTAAAGCAACAGGAGACTGGTGCTCTTGGTTAACAGAAGTCTTTATGTAGGGTGTGCACAGGCACTGCATACTGGTAGTTGAGAGGCTTCTTAAGGGAAATTGAAGTCTAAATCATTTGGTGTCTCCAGGAAGAGGCCTATATATATTTCAGATGCGAGAGTGAGAGACTGTATCACCAGATTTATATATATATATATATATATGTAAAAGTTTGCTTTTGATTAGCCTTTTTCCTTGGCTCTGGAGCTTACAGCATTTATTGCAGCCAGGCAGTCAAGGTTTCCTGCAGTCCCTGGTTGGTATGAAATACACTCTAGAACCAGAGCACTGTTTGCAGGCCTTCAGTATTGATTCAGGGGTATTTTCTGCTTGTAGCTATGAAGTAGAAAACTATAGCTATATTCTGGAGTTTCTGATGTTTCTGGAACTTTTCCACCCAAAGAACGCAGAACATGTTCAACATTTAGAACTAACCATAAATTTCTGTTATTCTGTTATCAGCAGGAAGGTCTGCCTTTTGAGTCTTTGTGCATATGGGACAGAGCAGTCTGTGTTCCCCTGAACTGTGAGGCACAGAGCTACAGCAAGTGCAAAAGGTTCAGTCCTCTCAGTAGCTGACCACTGTTACCATGTATCCTGGCCACGCTAAGTAGATACGTCTGGCTTTGTGCCCTTTAAGGTGCGAAAGCCTTGGCAGAGAAGCACACAGGATCCCTGCTCTACATATAAAGACATCATGTGCCCCTTTCTATGCTGGTGCAGTGTTTTGACTTTTCTTTATTTAAATATGCATTACACAGCCCAGCAAGAAGTGCAGTAGAGTTTAGGCTGTGACTTTACACTTTCTATCATAAAATCTGAGTAATGTGTTCCACTGGAACGGTTAATAATTGAGCACACAAATCAAGTGCAAGGGTGAGAGGCTCATGACAGGAAAAGCAGAATCAGAGGAACATCTTCATGACTCTTGCACAAGCCAAGCACATAAAGGCAAGGAAACACAATGCAAAAAACTACTAACTGGTAAACTAACTGATTACCCCTAGCAAAGTCAGCTGTTAGCTCAGACTGCTTTCAGCTGGAAGTCTAACCCTGGCCAAACTGGGGGACACCCACAAATACAGCACCTTGGAGATTTATGTCCACAATGTTCCTCTCAAGCCAAGTCACTCCTGCAAAGAAACCATACCAAAGAGAAAACCATCCAAAGGAAAACAAGTGCAGCACTGTGACAGCTTCTTGCCAAAACTCTTTCAAATCAGTGCTCCTGCCATAAAAAAAAACAAAAACAAAAACAAAAACAAAACAAAAAAAAAAAAAAAAAAAAAAAAAAAAAAAAAAAAAAAAAAAAAAAAAAAAAAAAAAAAAAAAAAAAAAAAAAAAAAAAAAAAAAAAAAAAAAACACAACAAAAAAAAACACCTTCACAACTTCTAAACTTAAATGAAAAAGTCTTTTCAAAAAATAAGACTCTGTCCTTCCAAGGATCCATCCTTGGCTGAGATAGGAGTTCTACAAACACTGTAGCATATGCCCCATCCCCGTATGCCCCTCACTCTTACAGCTCAGTGAGCTGCCAAGGACACCACAGCACATTCCACATCTCCAGTGCTTAACCACAACAGCCCGGGCAGAAGCAGCTCTTTTTGATCACTTTGAATCTGCCTCCTCTAGGCCTGTTCCTGCATGAGGCAGGATCCAGTTGTTCCTGCTCACCTTTTCCACACCAGTAGGGAAAGACTAAGCTGAGAACAACCACTTAGCAAACTCACAGAATCTCCTGATGAGGCAAGTCATCAGAACAACACTGAGGACAAAAGGAGGTAGCACGTTCATACTGCACTAGGTCTTGCCATATGTCACATTATCAGTGCTACAGCTTATTTAAAAGACACAAGAACTGACTGATTTAGATGTTACACTTAAGACATGCTGCAGTGTTAATGTTTCCAAAAGCTATTGGTTTTGATGTCATGATAAACTGTGAGGAGACATAAGCATGAGAAATTCAGTGATCAGTTGAAAAACAGCTGGGGAACACGAAAGGTCCCAAGGCTAGTGGGAGGAAAAAGTGACAGCACTCACCCTCCTGTGGATGCCACTTTGAAGGAGACCAGGTTAGCTCAGGAGAAGCCCCACAGTGGTGACCTCCTTGGGCAAAGCCTAGGCTTTCAGGAGCTGTCACCTGGGAAAGAAATGGCGGCAGCAGCAGTGGGTGACGGAGAAGAGCAACAAACCTCCTGCAAATTATTTCCAGCAACTAGTTTGTCTTTAACCATAACCTGTGTAGAAAACTAAAGGGGTGCTGTTAACTTCCTAAATATGAATCACCTCTGAACTCAGTCAAACAAATCTGTCTGCAGAAGAGGAGGCAGTTTTGTGTTGACTGTCAGTGCTGATGTCTACCTTACAAGAGTCCGGATTTCTAAGGAAAACATGCTTCAAATGTGGACTAGTGGCCTGTGAAATTCCCAAAGAGCATCTAAGGACTGGTCTGGTTTAACTTTCCTTGCTCTAGAAAGGGTTTAAAATGTGACCAGCAATAAGCAGCAGGAGAACTGGAGAGGATGCTGCTCTGGAAACTTAGAAGAGCAGATGAACTATTATTTGAACTGTTGTGTGCCTTTCATAAACAACATTTCCCCTCCCCATCCGCCAAATAAATTCACCAAAATCCCCAGGCCATGGGAGCCTTGCTATTGCCCTAGGCTGTAATCAGAGGGAAGACAAACTTCTTTCCCAAGGTAGAGAAATAATGATAATAAATCTGAATGAAAGGGAGCACACCAGACCTTGTCTTATTAATGGAGGGAATGATACTGTAGCCAGAGGGCATTACTGCCCTGACCTAGGAGAGAAAAACTCCCATTTCTGGCTTCTGGTTCAAGACCAGGATCTCAGCAGCAGGCACTGGCTCAGGAGTCAGTTGTTGGCTGTAGTTACAGCTTCCCTCCTTCTTGGCAGCTGTTTCGATCTGCAGCTGGACACAGAGTGTTTAAGGCAGGCCATGGTCCCACAGGTGACTCCGTGCAGCTCTGCCCTTGTGCTCCAGTCATCCTGCACCTGCTGCAAGGTCTCCCTTTATTCATCTGCAGAGGAAGAGCAGGGCCTATATTTTTCCTCTGTTCTACAGTTTAGGAATAATTGATGAATATATGCAAATAAGGCTGTAAAGTAGAATTACTTACAGCACTTCTTTGCTTGTCCCTCAGTCCTATCGATGAAATTAGGCGTAACTTTTGCTCCATGTCTCCATGAAAGACTATCACAAAGGATTCTCCTTCAGCACCAAAAGCAGAAGAGCTCTGCCAGGTTGATGCCACAGCAAGAGATGGCACAAGATAGAAAGCCTGCTTGCATCAGTCTGGGGTTCCGACCTACCCTGATGCTGTATGTCTTCCTGGCACTTCGTCTAAAATTCATTTCATTTGCCAATGGCATTTTGGGATTTCCTACATGTGCTAAATTGTAATAAATGACACCCACTGATGGCAAAGAGGATTATGGAGGGTAGGGCTGCCTGAGACAGCAGAAATCCGCTGGAGATTGAAAAGGTGTGAGCAGTAAATAAAAGGAAATCCTGGATCACCGCATAGTGTTCAGCTCCCACACTGCGACCTCCTTTGGTCCTTTCTATATTTTGTTAAGATCATATTTCTTTATGTGCTGCCTCGCTTAAAAGCCATCATAAATCCATGGCGTGCAGTAAGAATAACAGGGAAGGCACCGTGTAATACAAGGGGCTCTAATTCCATCCCAGGCACTCAGAGGGAGCTGTAAATCAGTGTGGAGAAATTTTAGATGGGAGAAGTGGGGCCGAGGCTGGGAAGGCAGCCGCAGCTTGGCTCCATCCCTCCATCCGCCCTGAGCCCACCTTCCTCACTGGGGAGGGGGAACAGCCTTCCTTCCCCTGCTGTGCTGCAGGGAAAGGGCTCACCCTGCCCCACAGCCCATGCCCTCTGCCCTGGCCCTCCTGGGCTCCAATCCTCTCCCTCCCTCAGTCATCAGGGGACCTAAACTAAGGAGAAACTCGAAGTATCCAGTGAGTAACATATCCTCCGTGTTGCTGCTGCCAAAAAGCACGGTCTGCTGCAAATCCAGAGCACAAAAAAAAAAACACCAAAAAAGAGTTCTTACAGTTCTTCAGACTTGAACAGTGACAAAACTACTTTAAGTAGTTTTTAGGAAGAAGTGCACTTACCCACCTTTGGGGGAATAACCTGCAGGATGAGCCACATGGTTTGTCTCTCACGGGTTGGAGCACAGCCCGGGCACTGCTCACATCGAGCTGTTTGCCTCCCCAGCATCATCTGTAAAAACCTGTCATACCTGCTTGGTGCGCATGTGGCCAAACCACGTGTTGTCTTCCAGCTGCAGCCTCGGCACAAGGAGCTGGAGCAGGAACAGCCCCGTCAGAGCTGTCTGAGCTGCCTGTGAGCGAAGGCCCTGCTGTATGGTGTGCTCACGTACTTACCCAGCTCATGCAGATGTAGCTCCGCCACTGGAAATCTGGGAAGAGCTTGAGCTAGGGATATACTATCACATTAAAAATAATTTCCTTTTTCCTTGCTCTAGTGTGAAAAAGCCTAACCCTAAAAGTGGAAGCTTTCTGAGGTAGACTTTCCTAATACTCACTTTACTCAAGTTTTGATAGAAAATGTGAATGATCACTTTTTCTTTTTTCTGCCAGATAGGAGAACATGATGAAAGTCTGAAATGTAATGTATTTATAAGGTTTATTTGTGCTACAGGTACAACTTAGTAAGCTTTGGAAAAGCTGAATTGCAAAGGGGAATGAAATGGAAACTTATTTGTCCATTTGAACTTTCAAACTCAGACTCTAAGCTTTGGTATGATGAAGAAATAAAAGGTGAATCATTGAATCCTGGGCCATCAATCATTTAATTTTACCCATGGTAAGTAGGAGAAAAAGGGAGAGAAAAAGAAAATAGAACCAAAGTTGTGGGCATGTTGAAACTTCAGGGGAAAGAAGTTACTGTGTTGTAACCATGACTATCCTGTGCCGAACCTCAGCCGAGGTCACTGGAACAAGCCAGCAAGTTAAACCTAAACAGAAATAGGACCTATGGGATTCCCCATCGGATTTTTACATAGTCACTACTGCAACACCATTTGTCAAGCTCACAGGGTAGTTTTTTACCAGATGTGAGAGAGACAGTACGAAAAAGCCAGGCTAAAGCTAGAGAGAAGAGCGTGTACGCTTCCACAAGGGAATAATCTGCCCAGGAAGGTCTGTGAAGTCCAAGATTACACTAAAACCTCTCAGATCCCTCAGTGCTGCAAACTGTGTTTTAACAGTTCCACAAGTTAGATGTTTTTGTCATCGAGAGTGAGATGTTCAAAGGACTTGTCCTGCTGCATAAAGGAAGGGTTAAACTGTCTTTTCTCCTATTTTGGGGTATATTCTGCATGTGGGAGACAATTTCTACGTGTGCAACCAAACCCATCACCTTGCCATTATGTTCCCTTTCTTCCGCAGATTTTTGGTGTAAGTTCACGTTCTCAAAATATCTCTAATGGCCCCAAAATTTTCTGTCCATGGATTTCCAGGTGCAATTTGTGCCTCTTCGACAGCAGAGAGTTCTCTTTGGGGGTCATTAAAAGTCATGAAATGATCCCGCTTACAAGAAACTGAGAGACCAGTCTGGTTTTTGGTTTTTTAGTTCTCCTTCTTGATTTTCATTGTTTCAGCTTTTTACTTGCAACATAAAGCCTATCTGCTGAAGAAGTCACGTGACTTAATTTGGTACTATTTGTAAAACACTGCAAGATTCCCGAGGGAGAGGGAAGTTGAACAAAACCAATTCATTGCTAGTAAAATTTGTTGCACTCAGATGTCAAAAAAATACAAACATCCTTAATGCAAGTTTGCAGCATTTTTTGAATCATAATAGCTTCATTCCATTCAAATGAATCAGAAACAAAACAGATCGAGAGCAGACAAACTTTGAAATACTTAAACATTCTTTAATTAAATTTTTCATGATAAAGACTTTTAAAAGGATAATTATTTTGCAGGCAGTTACTAAAAATCTACATTTAAAATCTAAATCTAGAGCAATTAGGGACAGGATAACAACAACTGTATGTAGACTTACTTTGCTGTTTCAGAAGTATATTATCAGGAGTGTACTTCAGCTCTTGTTTCTCTGTGAATTAAGACACTGGTGTCGTTATGCTGCTTATCAGGGAAGGCAGTAGGTTGTATAGTTATCTCCTGATTGGGGCAAAATCACTACCCTGAAACCACACAACCTACTACCTCATCCTGTTGGAGCACATCATGCACATCTTCTGAAGGAAACCATTTGCACAGACGTTACATCCCACACACTTCTGTAACAGTGGCCTGCTGACCTTTCTTCACAGTTCTACTGCACATCAGTCAAGAAAGGGTGAGGTGACTCCAGAGACATGACAACTGCAGTGGCAAACACTGTCCCTCCCAAATTAGCAAAATGTAATAAAAAGCAAGGGTAATCAGCACCCAAAACTGATTAAAGAGACCTCTTACTTAGGGCTCAAGCATTTAGCAGTTCCAGGGCAGTACACAAGCGACTGGGAGATATCCTCTTTGGTTTTTGTCCAGCTTGCCCCTTTGCAGTTTCTCAAACAGCCTACACAAAGTGAATTTAAACAGCTGCTGAATCCAAAGTGGCATTTTCTGTTAACTATGAATACAAATGCCAGAAGGTAATGGAGAAGTGGGTCAGCTGCTTCCAGATGGCCACTCTCACGGCAGCCTGAGAATGCTGGGTGTGAGCAAGTCCACTGTGAAAAGGGCTCAGGGACTGGGTTGTACCTATGTCCTGTCACTCACACCCCACCTTCTCTGAGAAGGGAAACGGCTTTTGGGCCTGAATGGGAACTAGAGGAATCTAAACACTGTAAAAACATTCATGTACAAGAGCCAAATGCAACGAGCAGACAGAGCCAGAGAATGTTACAGTTGGAAAATCTCTGTGTTGCCTTTCAAAGACACATCCAGCGCTGGTATCACAGCCACTTCAGGAAAGACAGTAGATTGTATAGTTATCTGACAGGCAGGGCATAGCCCTAAAACTATACAACCTACTACCTCACCCCAAAGGACAGTCAGACTCTGATCAGATGAAGCACAAGCTGTATTCCCAGAGAGCTGTATTGCTTGGTGACAACCTAGAAGACAAAAAGCTCTGGAGACAAATATTAACAGTCTTGAATTTGAAACAGTTTGCTATATACCAGACAACATTCTCCTTAATGAGCTCTAGTTTCATGTTTGAAATGTTTAATAGATTTGCAACTTGTGAAGTCATGTCAGTGACAAGAAACACAAGGGAAAGAGGATACAGTATTCATTTTTAATAACTGCACTTGTGCACTTCCAACTCTGACACAACTGTATCCTACCAAACCAGTCTGTCACTTTGGGAAAAGCACTGCTATGACTCAGAGAGAGGATGCTGACTTAGAGGGATTGTATAGCATGCTCCTAGATATTCCTCTATTATCCTAATGGGGAAGAGCTGATGTTCTCTAACTGAATTTCCCAAGTCCCACGAGTAAATATCTAAGACTGAACAAAGGATTTCTCAAGACTGTGAGGAACTGTTGTAGCCTACTCAAACCCCACACTAGTCCTAACTGAGCATAACCCAGCTCTGAATTGAGCACTAGACCAACAGACCCTGCTGTACCACACACACCTTGCTCAGGGGGATTAACAGAGCTGCCACTACAGCACCAACTACTGTCACCTCAAACTTGTGCTGCAGTTTTAGGGGGTTGTTATTCCCCACCACATGGTTTGATGGACAACACATTCAGGGCAGATCTAAAGAAGTGGAAATAACTGGGGAATCAGTCACTATTGTAATATAAATACTGCTTAAATAAATAAGCAAACCTTTAAAGTAAAAGGTATCATATAACTCCATCAGCTAACTTTCCTCTTGCTAAGTTAACTAAAGAACACCTTAACTGATACACCCATCAGCCCCATGCAGAGAAAAGAAAGCTGTTTCACTAGGAAGCAGACCTTACCCCGAAGGTCACACTACAGGGGGACTGAAGCCATCTGCCCTGGCTTTCAGCATCATTGACGTGGGGACCTGAAAAGAGAGGAGCAAGACAAAACACACACATCTCAATGGCATTTCACTGCACGCTGAAACAATTATAAGGTGGGAGAGAGCGCACGCTAAAGCCGAGAGCAGCGTCCTTCTCGAGGAGAACCACACACAGCACCAGCTTTCCCATTCACTTTTACTACCACAATTCCACTACGGCCCAGGGGAGGACCCTGACTCAAAAAAGATAGGCAAGAGAGAAGGAGAGTGAAAAGAACAGATTTTTTTTTTTAGATTGTCTTGAGTGTTAAGAGCATTGCAGAGACAGGCAGAGAGAGGTATTGGCTCCTTCAAAGAACAAACACTTTTAAATGAAGCAGAGAAGGAAGGAGAATGCAGATGTCTGACCGAATTAGATATCGATGTGCTAATTATAAAAGACTATACCATTAATGTCAAAGATCATTTCACTGCAGTGGACGAGACCACGTGTAGAAAGAGGTCACTGGTTGCTGGGAGCTGCAGTGGTGCTGTTTGTGCACAAGACGGGCCTGGTGCAAGTTTGACCACGCTGAGATCACTGTATTGGAGGAAGTACTGCTCAACCACATCTTGTAACCTCAATGCCCCTGTAGGCCAAACAGGATACGCTTTGTAATATTCTTTGTAGACCACACTGAAGGAACAGCTTGAGAGATTTCAATATCTCATCAATGTCAACTGCAAAACTGGTGTCAGAAGCTGCTCCCTGATCACTATCAAAGGAATCCGTTTGGAAAGCTCTCCAGCAGAACGCCTGATAGTCTTCTCTATGTACTTAAGGGGTTTAAAGTCAATTGCTCTCTGAATAATCCTCTGAAAAACATCCTACCCTGTGCCTCTGGTTTTTAGATAAAATATTTAAAAATAAGCATCATCTTGGTGCATGTAGTCAGAGATCTCAGTGTTCTTCCTAAGAGCCAAGGACTTGCATTGGAGCTTTGGCTAAAATTCTGTGCTGTTTCGTCAACCTTTGAGTTGTGCAGTCACCTCTCAGAAAGTGCTTTCTGTGTAAAATAAACCCTGTGCTTATATCAACAGAATCATGTTACATAATATAATTGGAGGAAAGCCGTGTATTGTGTAATTGCCTTCAAAGTGACGCTTTTGTAAGCATTTACTTTAAAGTGGAAGGATAAAAACAACACAACTTTTCAGAGTGGCAACTCTATGCTGGATGGTACAGCGAAACCAGTTCAAAGCACCAGTCTGGCATTAAAAGGATGATTCACAGTAGTGAGAAGCCCAAACTACCCCA